TGTGTGTGTGTGTATGAGTGTATGTGTTTCTGTGTGCGTGTGTGTCTCTGAGTTTGTGTGTGTCTGTGTGTGTGTGTCTCTGAGTGTGTGCTGTGTTGTGTGTCTGTGTGTGTCTGTGTGCGTGTGTGTGTGTGCGTGTGTCTGTCTGTGTGCGTGTGTGTGTGTGTGCATGTGTCTGTCTGTGTGCGTGTGTGTGTGAATGACTGTGTCAGTTTGTGTCTGTGTGACTGTATCCATGTGTGAGTGTGATTGTGAGTGTGTGTGTGTGTTTGACTGTTTGTCTGTGAGTGAGTGTGTGTAGATGGGGAGTCTCAGTCCCTAAGGGGGACAGGGGAGATTTTCAGTAGCTCTGGCAGCATCTGTGAAGAAAAATCAGAGTTAACGTTTCAGGCCCAGTGACCCTTCCTCAGCACTGCCCAGACCCGAAACATTAACACTGATTGTTTTCTTCACAGATGCTGCCAGACCTGCTGAGCTTTTCCAGCAACTTCTGTTTTTGTTCCTGATTTACAGCATCCGCAGTTCTTTCGGGGGTTTATTTTGAGGGAGATTTTCAGCGTGACCACCTGAGGCAGGGTGCTGATCTTCTCCTTTTCCCCTCGCCTCCTCCAGGAATGTCCAGCTACCCCTCGGAAGAGACGATATGGGAGCCTTTCACACATTCCGTCAGGGCTGGCATCATCGCTGGAGTCTGCTTCCTCACAAGTGCCTTTATCATTAGCATCCTGGTCTCACACGTCATGAGGTGCAGAAGACAGAGGCGGATGCAAAGTGAGAGAAATGGAGGTGGTATGGGGAGGAGGGGGGGATGTGAGGAAAGCGATCACAGCCCTTGATATCGAGGCTGCACTCAACCAAGTGTGGCATCACAGAGCCTCGGCAAAACTGGAATCAATGGGTATCGGGGCAAACGCTCCGATGCTTGGGGTCATACCTGACACATAGGGAGATGGTCGTGGTTGTTGGAGATCAGTCATCTCAGCTCCAGGACATCTCTGCAGGAGTTCCTCAGGGTAGTGTCCTAGGCCCAACCATCTTCAGCTGCTTCATCAATGACCTTCCCTCCATCATAAGGTCAGAAGTGGGATGTTCGCTGATGATTGCTCAACGTTCAGCACCATTCGTGACTCCTCAGATACTGAATCAGTCCATGTTCAAATGCAACAAGATCTGGACAATATCCAGGCTTGGGCTGACAAGTGGCATTCGCGCCACACAAATGCCAGGCTATGCCCATCACCAATAAGAGACAATCTAACCACCGCCCCTTGACATTCACTCTGTAAGTGACGAATGAGTCTAAGACCCCTCTCTCCCAAGCCTCTTTCCCAGCCTCTGACCTGCTCATAGATTCATAAAGGTACACAGCATGGAAACAGGCCCTTTGGCCCAACTCGTCCATGCCTCAAACCTATGCCCCTCGGGTTTCGGACTCCCCTACCCTGGGGTAGAGATCTGGGCTATTCACCCTATCTATGCTGATTTTATAAATGTCTGCAAGATCACCCCTCAGTCTCCTACGCTCCAGTGAAAAAAAGTCCCAGATCATCCAGCCTCTCTTATAACTCGAGCCCTCCAGTCCTGGTGACGCCCTTGTAAATCTTTCTTGCATCTTTTCCAGTTTAATAACATCCTTCCTACAGCAGGGCAGCAAGCAAAGCACGTGATATTCCAAAAGTAACCTTACCAATGCCTTGTACAGCTGCAACTCCTGTGCTCAATGTGTGCCAAACAAATTCTTCACCACCCTTTCTACCCGCGATGCAAATTTCAACGTCATTCCTATGTCCGAGAGCACTGGCCAGGACCCTACCATGAGCTGGTTGAGATCCTAACATAACCTTCTTCGCTGACAACTACAACGTCAATTTTACCGTTATCCGCAAACGTACTCTCCTTTCGGAATTTGCGATTTCGAGTTCCTGTCAGGATTGTTTGGAGAACAGAAAACTCCAGCAGGTTGATAGAGAGGGTGGGGTGGGGTGTGGGGTTTAATGACGGCAGTGTTGTTGAGTCTGGAATACAACTTGAACGAAGATTATTCGCTCTGATGAAGGATGTGCGGGGAGGCAGATTGTTTCTGAAAGAGAGAGAGGGGTTGGCAAGTGTGGGTTCCAAAGGGATCGGAGTGTCTGTGTCCCTGAGACATCGAGGGGGAGCGTGTAGGGGCAGCGAGGGGAGGGGCACGTCGGTCTTTATCACTGGGGGAGCTGAGCAGAGCGGTGTCGGTGTCCTGTCACAGTCTTACACAGCCTCAGGGAGCGCTCCGTCTGGGATATTGTGGGCAGCTCCTGTCTCCTTATCGAATGGAGGATGGGTCTGAGGGGGAGGGTAGCAGAGGGTCCCCAGATTAATCCCTGGGATGGTGGGATTGTCCTATTGGGAGAGATTGAGGAGACTGAGTCTGTCTTCCTCGGGGCAGGGGGGAGTTATGAAGAACAGGACCAGGGACGGTGACCTCAGGATGAGGAGCAGGCCATTCAGTACGGAGATGGGGTGGAATTACTTCACTCCGAGGGTGGGAAATCTCTGGAATTCTCTCCCCCAGGGAATTCTGGGAGCTCAGTCATTGGGCAGGCCAAAGACAGAGATCGATCGATTTCTGGAGATTCACAATATTGAGGGACATGAAGATAGTGGGGGAAATGGCATTGAGGGGATGACCAGCTGTGATCGAGAATGGCAGGGCATCTCGAGGGGCTGAATGACGCACTCCTGCTACTATGCTCCTGGAGATACCAGTCGGATGCTCTCAGGGAGATATCTGTACACTGACTGGTGTCTCTCAGTCCCCTC